ACAGAAGATGAGACAAGCAAGAGAAAGAAGTGACATATAAACTACTAAAAGTGGGAGAACTTGGTGGGGCATCATCTCCTAAAGGTACACATTAAAGAAAGTTGGGGTCTTTGCTGAAACCATGATTAGACATGTGTATAATCACATTTCCCACCACCCACACACACACCAACACCAACAACCACAAAAAGTCAGAAGCTTCACATTAATCAAGAACTAAAATTAAAGAAACTCCACTAACTGAAAAATGTAAATATTTGATATTCATAGTCTATAACCATCCCGCGGATGCAATATTACGTGGGTTACAGATCAGCAATCTGGTCTTTAGCAAGAGAGAGAAACATAGTTTCCTTTTCATTCATTTGGCTGATTAAGACAAATTATTACATCTGGCAGTAATAAAGGATAGGAACACTCATGAGGTAAAGCAGCAAATGCAAGCCATTAACCTAGTTTTGAGCAGGCTTCAAATAAGGATCTTCAATATTATTTTAACTCAAATACAGCGTAACTATTTCAAATTTTCAGTACAGAACCTGGTATCAAGAAACAGCAACCATGGAAGGGAGAGAAGCAATATAGTTCACTTAAGTGTCCCAAGCGAACAGCTATTGAGATGAAATACCTCATTTTAGTTATAAATTGGATTTATCTAAAAAGAAAATGAAATCATTCATACTCCAGTAAAATCTTGGGTCTCAGCTGAAATAAGTTGCATACTGACATTAATATGTATCTGGGACAGAGTTGCTGAGAGCAAGATAGACTTCAGAAAAGTAAAGATGACTCTCAAGTTCAACATTTCCTGGAACAAAACACATTGACGGTGCTATCCTTCAGACTATATTGGGTCAACTCCAAACCACCAAATTCTAATTAAACCAAAATTAACCCTGGCAGTTATCAGAAGTCAAATTCTCAACATTTTTCGAAATATGCTTATAACTTGATCACTTTGTAGCAATGGTTTCTTCCCCAAAATATAACTATCTAACCACCTATATTTCACCCGTCTCTGTAACTCTTTTTACATTATAAAACTAAATCACTGCATGGAGACAGTATCAAAATATTTGTTTTGAACATGACAGAGGTTACAAAAAGAGAGGCAATCACAAAGGTGGAGGGCAATGGCACTAGACATGTAGACTATGTTTGAAAACATGGCACCACTATAGTAGTAACTTATGTCTTATTCCCCACTGACACACAAAACTAGTAAACTTATATCAAGCACAACATGAAAATGAAATGATATCAACATCAAAGTATCCAAGCTCTCTTCATCAGGAAGGTCCTAGAATTTTGATAAATTCAAAGAAATGAAGCTACATCTCTTGCACTTTTCCAGAAGAGTGATGGACTTCCTTAAAACTTTTTTCAGTTTTTCAGTCGTATCTATCATATAAGAGAAAGAAACTGTATACTGTTACATACAAGAAATCAACCAGCAATCAATTTCGAGTTTGGAGCCTTAAAGTTCAAATATACTATGAAGAAATAAAATTCAGAAATTTGGAACTTAATAAAAGATGGTCATCATGAGGTAAATTGTGAGGAGCATCTAGGTTATGTGTGTGGCGTGCACGCATATAGGAGAATGCATTATCAGTGTGTGGAAGAGGAGCAAGAGAGAAAAAAAAAAAACTAAGACATTCGGGGAAACCATGGTGTAAAAAGTTAAATAGTCCTCAATCTACCAACAAATGCAAGAGGTTATCACTGTCAAAAAAGCATCAGAAACTAAAATCTTTTCATATTATAAACTACAACTCCGTATCTAAATTGTACATGCAGGATAACCTCTGTACTTTTTTCATTGCACATCACCATCATCCACAAATCATATTCCAGGAACTTTCCATTTCCATTCCTTCTCATGTATAACTTCCTTAGAAAATTTGGCCACTTTTTTCTTAATTGACATCCACATTCATCCATGAATTATTTTCTACTACTCTTGAAAATCCGTAACATCCATTTAGTATCCCAAGATTTGACGCAGTACAGAACTACAAGCTTTGAAGTCTATAGGTTTCAAAACCATCAACTAACACCCAGAATGAATCTTATAAAGAAGGCTTTTATTTTTCATAAAAATCGATTTTAGCAGCCCAATACAATCGCGCTTTCAAGATCCTACCCATAAACATCTATAACAATTCGAATTGAATGCAATATAACGAATTGAACAAACAGAAGAGAAACAAATAGCAATTAAAAAAGATAGAAGTAAAGACCTAATTAGAAGAAGCGGCAGCATCAACGAGCTCTTGTCCTTCTCTCCATGGCGACGTCCCACATATCGTTCCGATATGCTTGGGCTACAAATCAAAAGTAAAGAATTGAGAACTAAATGAAGAATTGATTTGATCTAATAATATTAAAAGAAAATAGAAAATAGAAATACCCGTCCATGAGCGCTCGTGATGTAATACTGAGCGTTCCCCATAACACAAAGCATTCCAGCAATTATTCCAGTGGCAAAGCTGCTTCTAACCACACCAACGACATCCCTTCTTCTTCTTTCAAACACAACTACTGTTTTTACGTGCCTATCGCTCTCTGTGTTCCTCTGTCATTATCGGATAAACTCTGCAGGCCCTTTACTATCGAAGTACATTATATCCCTGGTTTCAAAATTACACACTTACATCCACACCTACCTTAGTTCATGAGTAAAATAGTTATATTGGGTTGCTAAATGACCGAATTACCCCTCAAAAGTTTTTGAAAAAATCTTCTTCTTTTTTTTTAGAAAAAAAAAATCCAAGGATGGGCTAAATTAGTTGAAGTTGACTGACTTTTAAAATGCTAATTTGGGATTTTTTTTTTTTTTTTAAATCATCATGAATTTATTTCTTCTCCTTAATTGTAATAGTGTAGCCACAGAGGATTAAATTTGTAATAAGACCTCGAGACATTAGTTGAGGTATGAGCAAGCTGTCCTAGACACTCCTGATTTCCAAAAACAAAATTATTCTTAAAATTTTTGGTTTCTTAATTGTTTAGACGACTTCTTTTTTTAAATCAAATAAACTTAATTTGAGACACTAATTAATCATTATAAACCATCATCGGTGGCCCAACGGTCAACTAGACTTTTGGTGTATTACAAGAGTATTGAATTCGATCAATCTGGATTGCTAATAGAGTGGACACTAAGGAGATTTACAATTTCAACTTCAAGACCTAAAGATTAGTTGGTTACACCAACTGGCCCGAAACCCTTGTCACAAAAAAAAAATCCATTATATAACCATTATGCGATCGTTTAAAATGTTATAAAATGGTATATAAAATAAACTAGTAATTTTCATTAACATGCTACATATATAAATTAAAGTTAAAATTTATTTTTTTTTTTTAAAATTTATTCATCGGTTAAAATACCGATATTACTTGTCAAAACCACAGAGATTAAATTGTCTCAAAAAATACAGGGGTGTATATGAATTTTTACTTTCATGTATGGCCAGGTTGGGCTGAAAAAGCCCGAAATGGAATGTTGTAGTGAGAATGAAGCCAATCAAATAATTGGCCCCACAATTTGATAGTGATGTATTTCTGTAATTATTGAGTTTGAATTTGTGAAATGGTCATGGTCCCTTTGATTATACATGTACAAAAAAAAAAAAAAAAAAAAAAAAAAAAAGATATAATAAAGTCTTAAATTCGGGTGGAATTTAAAAAACAAGTCTAAATTATAACGAATAAAGACATTCAAATCATATAATAATTGAAAGAGCATCTCCATATATGTTGACTAATTCCTTCTACTCTTCAAAAACCATAATAATTCAAACAATGACCAAGTTCAAATAATACAAAATCCATAACATTAATCTATCTTTCCATGCTTCCACATTTAAAAACAAAAAAACAAAAGAAGACTTATACGAGACAATTTTACCATCTTATCATATTACTGTCGTGACAGCGACAAACAAAATATCTAGCTTACTGTGGTAACAACTTCTATTAAGACTATCATAATATTGTAACAATAGATATCACTAAATTATAGTATTGTTATTGATGAAAACAAAAATTTACATAGACGTAATATGTTTTTACACCCATCAGTGAATAGCCTAGATGGTTAGGACAAATTTTGAAGGTAATGTGTATAGGTGTAGAGTCTCAGGTTCGATTCTCTATATAAGTATCTGAGATTTAAGTGGGGGTTCGTGATGGTGAGTTGTTATACTAATCTTTTTCGAGGATTATTTGAGGTGCACGGAGTGGGATCGGACACCGTGGACCGTGGTTAAAAAACAAAAAAAAAATAAAAATGGATTGGATGGTAAGTATAGGTTTTCAATAGGTGGAGTGTGGATATAATTAGAGGAGTTAAGTATTGGTCAAAAAAGTGGTCAAAACGTGTTTCATATCCAAAGGCAAAGGGAAGTCAAGGGTATTTTGTATTTATTTATTTATTTTATTTTTTAAAAAGAGAAAAAAAAAAAAAAGAGTAAAACGACGACGTAATATTAAAGTGTAGGACACTCTCACACACACAGAGTCCAGCTAATACTGCGTTGGCAAACATCATTATCATCTGCCAATCATCTCTAGCAACTGTGGGGTCTTCTTCCACTTCTAATCTACAGCTTTGATGCCCTGCATGGTTCACACGTGTCATCATCTCCTTCACCAATTTATTACTCATCATATACATGTATCACACATGAAAAAATCCCCCTCCTCTCTCTCTTCTTCAACTGGACTCAACACAGCAGTAAAAAAATAAAAATAAAATAAAAATGCAATCTTTGAAGTCTAGTGTACTATTGTCCTCAACTTAACTGGCCACTGTGAAAAGGTTTAGATTTTCTTTACAGGGAGAGGTAGACAGACTTAGGCTAGGTCAGTGAGGGGAAATTAGTGGAGAAAATAATACTTTAATTATAGATTTGGTACCTTTTTTTTTTATTAAATTTCTGCAAAAAAAATTTCACAGTTTTTTATTTTTTATTTTTATTTTGGTTATTACAGACACCCCCTTTATTGATGGTGCTGTCACTGCTGTGTTTCTCCTTTTTATTCTGCAACAACCACAACTAAAACCCTTTTCCTTTTTTTTAAGAATCCATTCTTTTGTTTGTTCTAAATTCTCTAAAAAGGAAGCCAAACCCCAAAGCAAAACTATGTCAGGTTTGTATAATCCCAACTTCTCACCTGCAAGAGCTGCTTCTCCACAAATTAGAAGCACCCCAGATATTGACAGGTATACCCTCAACGAAAGTCTTTATTTTTTCTCACTTTTCACTCCATCAACATTCCTGACTGCAACTATAACTTGTTTATGTTTTCATACTGTTAATCTTTATGTTGGTTTACTTGTGTTTCGCAATTCTCTTTGTTTTTGATCTATGTCGGTTGGTTGTTCTGTTTCCAGTCAATATTTGTCAGAACTTTTGGCTGAACATCAAAAGCTTGGACCTTTCACTCAGGTGCTCCCGATATGCAGCCGACTGTTAACTCAAGGTTTTTTCTTAAATCTCTTAGTTTTGGATCTAGGTTTTTCTGCCTTTTAATTGGATTTTTTGGTTGCTCTTTGTTTTATCTCTTTAACTACATTGCCGCTCTTGCAACTGTACTTGTTTTGTGTATTTAGATCGTTTTGATTGTGTTATTGTTTGCATTAACATTAAGGGCTAGTCTTAGCTGCTTTTGAAATGATACAATCAAATATGCATCGCACTTTTCTTTGATTGTGGGATTGAGTTTATGAACTGGGCTCGATCACATGGTAGCAGTTGTTTTCTAGTTCATGTGATTTTAATTATCATTTTTGTTAAGTTATAGATGGTGTTTGAGGACTTGTATAAGTGTCTCCAAATGCATCATTTAAAGAATCACTGTAATTTTTTAGTTTAATGGGTATGGATTTAACTTCACGTTCGGCTCATTGGGAAGTTATGGAAGAAAAAAACTTTAATTGTTACATTTAGTGTATATGCTATGCACCAAGCACAAATCAGTAATGAGCATGAAGTTATGATTTGTAATCCATCTGTAGGCACGCCAGTGGCACTGTGGAAATTCATACTTTTGAGGTTGGATTTTAAGAGCCTTATAGAGTTTAGAAATTAATCAATTGACGGGGATAGTTTGAATCAGGTGTATGATGTGGTTGATGACTTGTATTAACATTCAAGGTGTAATTATCTTGTCTTTTATACCAATATGACGGTGGAAATGGTGTCTTCTTAGGCTTATTTCTTCGCAATTTTTGCTTACTTTGACTAATTTTTCTTCACCATGCATTGTTCTTTATTTTTTTCCTTGTTGCAATTCCTTCTTTCTTGTTCCTTTTATTTTTGTTTGTGTATGATCTCATATTCCTTGTGTTGATCCACTTATCTTGATTACAGATCATTTTCTCATATAAAATGCTCTTTTATGTGCAGAGATATTTCGGGTTTCTGGAATGATGCCCAATCAAGGATTTGGTGATTTTGATAGACTGCGGCATAGAAGCCCTAGTCCAATGGCTTCTTCAAACCTTATGTCAAATGTTGGTGGTACAGGACTAGGTGGCTGGAATGGCCTTCCTCAGGAGGTATCTGTTCTCTTCTTTTCAATTCTGGATCTCAATATTTTATCTGTGATTTGCGTTCTCATAAATATCAGTTTTGTTGCCATTGTGAAATCTTTGACATGTCTCATTCTAGCCACTATATATTTGCAAACTTTGTTTCTTGCTTCATATGAAATTTTGAATAAATGGAGTGAATTGCTGTTTGAGTTGTTCAAAATCGTATATGAGCTTGGCCATAGTTTCTCATATGTGTCTCTTATGCAAGAATGGTAGTTGCAGATTACTACCTACTTTTTTGTGTGCTTCTCTGCATACAATCTCTTGTTGTATGCTGTGTGCTCTCTGAATCATGAAAACCTCTTTTTGCGTTTCTATCACTGCTTTATACTAACACATGTAAATCCCATCACTACATAACAGAGAATAGGTGGACCACCAGGAATGACAATGGACTGGCAAGGTGCTCCTGCAAGCCCGAGTTCATATACTCTAAAGAGAATTTTGCGATTGGAAATTCCTGTGGATACTTATCCCAATGTAAGCTCTATACACAAATTGCTAGTTTGTTATGCCAAATTTGATTGGTTTATTGTACTGATGGAATTCATCTTAATGGGTAATAATATGTGGACTGTCTGGTTTACTATTGTTATTCAGTTTAACTTTGTTGGACGACTTCTTGGCCCAAGAGGCAATTCACTGAAACGGGTGGAAGCTACTACTGGATGTCGTGTGTACATTAGGGGAAAAGGTTCAATAAAGGATCCAGACAAGGTAAGCTCACCGGTAGGTTTTCTTTTTGGACTAATACTTACAGAAACTTGCAAAGTTTGCAATGATGATTTAGCTGTAAATGTCATTTTAGCACAGTGAATTTCCGAACAATTTGTTTCCAATTTATTGACATCAAAGATTGGTTCTGAATGCTAAACTCAGTTATTCTATATCTTTTGTCATCTCAAGGAAGATAAGCTGAGGGGAAGACCAGGATATGAGCACCTCAATGATCCACTCCACATCTTAATTGAGGCTGATTTACCTGCCAGTATTGTTGATATAAGGCTGAGACAGGCACAGGAGATTATAGAAGAATTGCTTAAACCTGTGGTATGTGTCTCTAGTATAGTTCTTGTCATTTTCTGTTTAAAACTTTTACAGATATATTGGTGTTTCCTTTGCTTTTGTCCTAAAACTTATTTTTCACTTCACAAGACTATGTTTGAAGAGGAAGATATGACAAATCATGTGGTTATGTTACAGAGAAGTGTGCTCTTCTATTGGATAAGTCTTGTTAGATGTCTCTAGGTTGATGCCTAATAAATTTCTTGTCCTTGTCATTAGTATTGAATTGCTGTTGAGGTTCACCACCTAAGGGGTTTTATTGTTGTTACTCGAATGGAAGCGTGTGGCATCATCTGCTGCCTGCTTAGAAGAAGTGAGGAGAGAGTTTTGTGGAAAGGCAAGTATTCAGTAAGATACCACCATATCGTTACCCCTTCCCCTCCTAAGCAATGCCACCCAATACCCGCTGTTCTGCAGAAATAGATGACATATGATTCCTCGAGTTGCAAGTTATTTTCGTTGTTTATATGACTTCCAGTCACACCTCAGTCAAAGATCGATTTGGTGAAATAATGAGCAGACGGAGATAGTCCAGTGATTTGTTAGGCTCATAAGTTCATGATTCAGTTAGCAAAAGGATCTACTTTACTGCATTCATATTTTTCATCTTTTTATTCTTTTTTTTAAATTGGAAAGCCTTCACATGCAGGATGAGTCACAAGATTTTATCAAGAGGCAGCAGTTGCGTGAACTAGCAATGTTAAATTCAAACTTCAGAGAAGAAAGCCCTGGGCCAAGCGGTAGTGTCTCTCCATTCAATTCTAGTGGAATGAAACGTGCAAAAACAGGGCGCTGAGAGTCTATATTTATCCCTATTTGAAATTTGTTTTCACCCTGCTCCAGAATTTCATGGCTGAGTATACCTTCTGATACAGCTCAATTCAGCACAGCTACAACAGGAAAGGATTAGGCTAACAGTTCTTGCTGGTGAGCTTTTCTGGTGGGTTTCTTTTATTTTGGCTTTGTTTTTGGGAAGAACAAAAAGTAAAACAAAGAATGGAAGACATTAAAAACAAAAAAAAAAATGAAGTTATATAGTTGGTTCTTGAGTTGTAGGTCTTGTTGAGGTCAGATTTTCCTGTAAACTTAATACATTCATTGGATTTATTCTTGTGTCAGTAACTTTGAGGAGTGTGGAATATATTTAATGGGGTCCAAGCATTAGGTCCTATCACAAGAAAATCAGAGTTTTGTAGGTGTGTTTATGTCTATATATTCTTATTAAAAAAAAAAAAAAAAGGCATTGAGATGATGAAATCATGTAAGTTGAGTCTGTACTGTTCTCTTTCTCATATTTATAATCTCACTCTGGATCTTGTCTCCACAGAGACATCTACCTTATTTAAAATGTGCTCAGATTAGCATAGTTTCTGTCTTTATGCTTCAAGTATATATATATATATATATATATTTTCCCTTTTTTTGGCTCTAGTTTTGTATCCTTTCAAGCTTAGTTAGGTAAGAGATTCCAAGATGAAGGTGGGGTTGTTAACTCATGTCTGCCCTTCCCATGTGATCAAGTTTTGGAATCCTATGTAGTATGAAGTCACTCACTCACTCACTCACTCTTCTTACCTTAGTACTTAAAATTCTGATTCTGCTTTTCTTTACTATCTCCACTAACAACAGTCCCATTTGGAATCCATGATAATTTACATAATGAATGACCTTATGGGAGAAAACTCAAATGGGATGGTTGTGTTAAGGCCTGTTGGGCAAACGTATGAATGATGTGCGAATAGAAGACGAATGTATGCGGTATCACCATCTTATTTATATAGATATTCTTCCCATTTTGTTATATGCAGGCAAGTATGATTCTACCTAAACTCTGTTTTTGTGTGTGTGTATGATCGCTTATGAGAGTGAGAGGTGACTGAAGTCCAACAAAAAATCTTTTCTTCTTCCAAATAGATGAAAGAAAGAGAAGATGATGAAATCCAGTTTCTTTCAATTAACTAAACCTAAAAATGGTGTTACATTCTGCATATCTGTCTCTCCATGCTTTGCTTCTTGTTTCTTCATTTACTTATTTAGGGTGTTATTATGTTGACCCTTTTCCAATAATCAAATCACTAGCCGCCCCAAATGACATTATTGGGAACCTTGGACTTGGACTATGATACTGATGGTTAACAACTATCAATAGTATTATTATTCAATAACATAAAACTCATGATTTAAATTCAATGAAAGATAAATAGGAGGGTTTAACCTTAAGGGGTTGATCTCGCGGTCAAAGAAATTTGTTTCTTTTTTTGAGTTCTTGGTTTTAAACCTAAGGGTCACTTATACAATAACATTGTAATTTGTTTGGTCTTTTGGGCTTATAGACAGTTTAATAGATTCTAAAAATTAGTTGAGATACCTGCAAGCTGGTCTAGACACTTTGTGGCATGTTTGACTTATTATTTTTATCAATATTTTCAATCCTATTCTCCAAATAATGTTTGGCACATTAATCCAGAAATATTATCCTATTTTTTTAATTACTTTTAGACCTCATTAGGTTATTAATTTCATCAAATACACCCTGAAAAAAAGTTTAAAAATTATCAAAAACACCCCCGTGACCCATACTTGTTAGATTCAGGCAACCACCGTCGGTGGTAGCCGAAATCTATACAACGGCCTACCTGTCGACCAGAAATGGTCAGAAGTTCACCGATCTGGCCGTGAACGACGACCAAATCTTGGCCATCGTTGACCGAAAATGACGGCCAAAGATGGTCATCGTTTTGGCCTTTTCCGATTGTCGCATTCACAACAGGCCGTAGATCTGACCTTTTCCGGCCATATCCGTGGTGGATCTGGCCGGGAAAGGCCATAATGACGCGTTACGACATAGATCCGATCGGTTTGTGTCGTAACACGATTTTTCGGCCAAATTCCGGTGGTGGTGGCCGGAATCTTGCACTGCAGGTGGTGGGGTGTTTTTGTCATTTTATATATTAAGGTATTTAATTAAATTAGCAAACCCATGGGCTTTTTCATAAATTTTTAAATTTTACCTCGTAATACTCTCCTATCCAACTACTCAATATTATTTCCAAAATTCTATCCAAAATAATAAATCAAACGCACCCTTGGTTACTCCAAAAAAATGAAAATATATGTGGGTTTATTTCATTTGCACCTGAGTAATGTTTAAATAAATAAAATACTCCAATAATTATCGGAAAAGTATTATATTTTCCTGGAAAATATCATGACATGTTCTAAAATTTCAGAGACGCGTTTATAAATATCGGAATCAATCCTGTTTAAGATAGTTGATAATTTTTTATAATTATTGGTTAATTTTTATTTTAAATAAAAATATTTACAAAAAATAAAAAATTCCGACCTGCCGGATTCGAACCAGCGACCTAAGGATAGCTACTTGGCTTTAACCTACTACAGTCCTCCGCTCTACCAACTGAGCTAAGGTCGGATTATTATTAATTTACCAATCATATTTTAATTAAGTGTAATTGTTTGGGTTAGTTAGAGATCATTTAAACACCCTACGGTTTTGCAAAAATATTAAAAAAAACTCCTAAAAACCAGGGACGATAAAACGACGTTGCAAGTCAACAGAAATCCAATGATGGAAGGGTAAATGAGTAATCTTACTGAAGTTTTTTTTGTTTGTTTCCCAATTTTTGGTTAGAAAGTACAATGGAAGAGAAAAAGTAATAAAAAAACTATTTGGATGGGGTTAAGATAACAAGAGTAATATTCGTTTATTTTATAAGATTTTCATATTTGGGTTGCAAGTAATAAAATATTACCGTAATCTTTTATTGCAAATAGTGATTGATGTTGGTAATTTGGGGGGATGGAGGGGGGTCATCTTATTACCTTACTGGAGGTTGTTATTAAAACATTATTAGGGTAATATGATTTTTCTTTCCATTTTATCTTTAATTAAAAAATCATTTCAGACATAATTGTACTCAAATGTCTACTAAATAAGAATTTCCTAACCCCCCTACATTTGAGAAATTAGCTAAAACACCCCAGTCACAAAAAAGTTTAAAAGTTAACAAAATACACCAAACCACTCAAGACCACCGCCGGCTATGACTCACCACCATTGACGTCAGTCGCCGTAATGGTGCACGACAGGCTGGATCTGGCCGGTTGTATGCTGATAAGGCTTTGTCCAGTGATCCATGGTCGGAAACGACCAAATCTGGCGTTTTTATGGCTTTTTCACGGCCAAAAGATGTGGCCGTGAAAAGGCTAGATCTTTGGCTTTAACATTTCACGGCCAAAGATTTGGCCTTTTCACTACTAGATTTGTGATCATTTCATAGCCACATCTTTGGTCGTGAAATGGTCATGAATCTGACAAATCCATGGCCATTTTCGGCTTTGTCGATGCACGGTCAGCCATATATGGCTAGTCGTGCACCATTCCATCGACTGCCGGGGTGATGGGCAGTGGTGGTTGGCTGCCGGCAGTGGCTTGAGGTGGGTGGGGGTGATTTTGCTACAAATTAAAATTTTATATGATTGAGGTGTTTTAGCAAAATTTCAAATGTAGAGGGTTAAAAGAATAATTCAAAAAATAATAATAAAAAATACTATTATACTAATATTTAAAAAATGGGATAATTTAGTAATCTATATAACATACTCATCTATTTATCCTCCTAATCAAACATATTATTCACCGATTTATTCGAACCAACTCAATACATTTTCTAAATATTTTCAGTAATCTTCGAGTAATATTTCTTTCTGGTAATATAATATAACCCTGTAGTAAAACATTATTTCATCCAAACGTTTCCTTTTTAAAAATTTTTATAACTTTTTCTCTTTCATTTTATTTTATTACCAAACATTGAAAGACAAAAAAGAATTCAATAAGATTACTGAATTACCATCACATCATTTGACATTTGTTGACTCTTGTAATGTAGTTTTATCGTCATCTAGTTTTCAAGGGTTCTTTTAGTACTTTTCTAAAAGAGAAGCCCATTATTTTGAGTGGGATTACTGGGACCCACCCGACTGGGTTAGGTAAAGTAGGACCCAAAATAAGACAGATTTGTAAATATTTAGAGTTACTGGACCCTTAGATAATTAGGTTTAGCTTCCCTAAATATTTAACTTCCTTAACCTTTTTGATTATATAAANAATATGAAAATATATGTGGGTTTATTTCATTTGCACCATAGTAATGTTTAAATAAATAAAATACTCCAATAATTATCGGAAAAGTATTATATTTTCCTGGAAAATATCATGACATGTTCTAAAATTTCAGAGACGCGTTTATAAATATCGGAATCAATCCTGTTTAAGATAGTTGATAATTTTTTATAATTGTTGGTGTTTTGATGGTTAATTTTTATTTTAAATAAAAATATTTACAAAAAATAAAAATATTCCGACCTGCCGGATTCGAACCAGCGACCTAAGGATAGCTACTTGGCTTTAACCTACTACAGTCCTCCGCTCTACCAACTGAGCTAAGGTCGGATTGTTGTTAATTTGTTAATCATAATTTAATTAAGTGTAATTGTTTGGGTTAGTTAGAGATCATTTAAACACCCCAAGGTTTTGCAAAAATATTAAAAAAAAACTCCTAAAAACCAGACGACGTTAAAACGACGTTGCAAGTCAACAGAAATCCAATGATGGGAGTGTAAATGAGTAATCTTACTGAAGTTTTTTTTTGTTTGTTTCCAAATTTTTGGTTAGAAAGTACAATGAAAGAGAAAAAGTAATAAAAAACTATTTGAATCGGAGGTAAATAAGATAACGAGAGTAATATTAGTTTATTTTGTAAGATTCCTATATTTGATTTGCAAGTAATTAAATATTACCATTCTTCTCGTTTTGCCCTTAATTAAAAAACCATTTCAGACATAATTGTACTCAAATGTCTACCAAATAATAATTTCTCAACCCCCCTTACATTTGAGAAATTAGCTAAAACACCTAAGCCACAAAAAAATTTAAAAGTTAACAAAATACGCCCAATCACTCAAGACCACCGCCGGTTATGACTCACCACTATTGACGTCAGTCGCCGTAATGGTGCATGATAGGCGGGATCTGGCTGGTTGTACGTCGATGAGGCTTTTTCTAGTGATCCATGGTCAGAAACGACCAAATCTGGCTTTATGGCCGTTTCACGGCCAAAAGATGTGGCCGTGAAAAAGCTAGATCTTTGGCTTTAACATTTCACGGCCAAAGATTTGAAATTTTCACTACTAGATCTGTATTTTCACTACTAGATCTGTGATCATTTCATAGCCACATCTTTAGTCGTGAAATGGTCATGAATCTGACCGTGAAAAGGCCATGGATCACAAATCCATAGCCATTTTCGGGTTTGTCGACGCACGGTCAGTCATATACAGCCAGTTATGCACCATTCTGTCGACTGTCGGGGTGATGGGCAGTGATGGCTGGCTGTCGGCAGTAGCTTGGGATGGGTGGAGGTGATTTTGCTATAAATTAAAGTTTTATATGGCTGATGTGTTTTAACAAAATTTCAAATGTAGAGGATTAAAATAATAATTCAAAAAATAATAATAAAAAATAAGATTATACTAATATTTAAAAAAATAGATAATTTAGTAATCTATATAACATACCCATTTATTTATTTTCTAAACCAAACATATTATTCATCGATTTATTTGAACCAACCCAACACATTTTCTAAACATTTTCATTAATTTTCAATGTGATATTTCTTTCTGGTAATATAATATAACCTTATAATAAAATATTATTCTATGCAAATGTTTCCTTTTTAACTTTTTTATACCTTTTTCTCTTTCATTTTATATTCTTACTAAACATTGAAAGACAAAAAAGAATTCAATAAGATTACTGAATTACCATCACATCATTTGACATTTGTTGACTCTTGTAATGTCGTTTTATCGTCATCTAGTTTTCAAGGGTTCTTTAGTACTTTTATAAAAAAGAAGCCCATGAGTGGGTTTACTGGGACCCACCAGACCGGGTTAGGTAAAGTAGGACCCAAAATAAGACAACTTTGTAAATATTTAGAGTTACTGGACCCTTAGATAATTAGGTTTAGCTTCCCTAAATATTTAACTTCCTTAACCTTTTTGATTATATAAAGTATAAACCCCCATCGATTTTACCTACCCTCGTCTTCCTACGCCGTATTCGCCGCCTGCCGTTCTCCACTTTCCTCTTCACTTTTCATTTCCCTTTCACTCACACTCCGAGATCCATCTCTTTTGAGGTACATTTTTGTTCCTTTTTTTATTTTTAGTCTTTTTTTTTTTTTTTTTTTTTCTGAATCATACTGTTAGTTCTTCAGCTTTAGATTACATTTGCGTTTTTTTTTTTTCCCTTTCTGTTTTGATCAGATGGCGTCGGTGTCTCGGCTCCGTTATCCCGTCGTCTGTTCAAGTAGACATATCCCTAACACTGATGTTTCTGACAATCGACAAATCTCTTCTCTACCTTACAAACTCCCCAATATTTCTGTCCCATTTCCTCGAGATCACCCTCTCCGCTTCTTTTCCGATAACAAAATTCCCACTCCCATACTGAAGCCGCCGGCATCTACCGGTGGCGGCGGTGACAGTGGAGCCGGAATCGGGAAAGGTGGCGGAGGAGGCGGTGGCGGAAATAGTGGAGATGGGAATAGTGAGAGTGGGGGAGATTTTGGTCTTTTGGGCATTTTATCAAACGGATGGAGATCAAGAGTTGCAGCTGACCCGCAATTCCTGTTTAAGGTTTTGATGGAACAGTTGGTTGGTGTTACAGCTTGTGTGATTGGTGACATGGCGTCCCGTCCAAATTTTGGTCTCAATGAGTTAGATTTTGTATTTTCAACTCTTGTTGTTGGGTCCATTATGAATTTTACTCTTATGTATATGCTGGCTCCTACAATATCTTCGACGGCTCAGACTTTGCCTGGGATCTTTGCAAGTTGCCCAACTAGTCACATGTTTGAGCCTGGTGCTTATGGGTTGATCAACAGATTGGGGACATTTGTGTTTAAAGGGGTTGTGTTTGCTTCTGTTGGTTTTGCCGCTGGGCTTGTGGGCACTGCTATTTCAAATGGGTTGATCAAATTGAGGAAGAAGATGGATCCCACTTTTGAAACGCCAAACAAGCCTCCACCCACTGTTTTGAATGCTCTTACATGGGCAACTCACATGGGTCTGAGCAGTAATTTCAGGTACCAGACATTGAACGGGATAGAGTTTTTGTTGGCCAAGACTGTTCCTGACGTTGTTTTCAAGACCTCAGTGGTGTTTCTGAGATGCTTGAATAATGTTATTGGAGGGATGTCGTTTGTTATATTGGCCAGAATGACTGGTTCACAGAGTGTCAATAATGAAGAGAAGACAGTGGCAGTGGTGGTGGAGGAGGAGAAGCAAAAGTTGGTGGGTGACAGTGAAAAAGACTTGCGGAGCAACCAGTCGACTTGATAGTGATGAGCTAATGTTATGTGTTTTTTTCAGTCATTTCTTGGCTGTTTATAACTTGGATACATTATATATATAGAGTTGCAATAAAATCCGAGATGACAGTCTAGATGTTTAGTTTATTGTTACAATTGTTCTAGCTTGTTTTTAAGGTTTAACACCAACTGAAAGCAACCTAGATGTTATGGTTGATTTTCTTTCTTGGTTTATTTATGTTAGCTGATGATTTAAACATATTTTGATGATATTTTTAGTCTGTTGCTATTAATAACATCATCCTGATATGCTAAAGACAAAAACATTGTAGTCCTGTTGTCGGCAATGTCTGGTTACAGCCAGCCAGAAATAATGATGTGATTTGTAAGTTGAGGAGATTACAAAACAAATCAGATGGGAGTTGGATGATTGCAGTATTTGGGTGGTTATAAGCCATTCGCAAGTGCACTGTCGCAATCAACCATATTAGGAGTTTAATAAAACTTAAAAGAGTGGCCGGTTTTATATAATTCAAAACCCTTTACCTGCACAGATGAGATCCTGAAAAAGAAAGCATTTCTATTATATCTCAATGTAAATTGCTGAGCATTTCTATTATATCTCAATGTAAATTGCTGTCTTGAATAAATTGGTTAATACCCAAGTGTTTGTATAAGAATAAAACAAGGTTAACCTAACCCGCCCTTACCACACCCTCCTCCCATTCTAGACAACAAAAAAAGGAAAACTAGAGTACAAATTGCAACCCCATCTTAGAATAGAATGAAACATCATACTCATCAACTTCCTGTATATCACTCTTTTTCGTGCGGTCGGACGTACAAATGTTATGAGTATGAACTTATATCCCAAAAGAATGCATGGCTACCAACTGTATCCACGAGCACCTCAACCATTATATCAACAAAGAGCTTTAGCAAGATCACGTCATCTAACAGCTTCTGGAGCAGAATTGCAATAAGGGGTGTGCAAGCAAACCAACTTGGTGCATGTTAAACACAGAGTAGCAAATCCAACTCCTATAACAAGCCCACCACTGCTTTTCCGCATGTCCAAACTCACGGATCTCTGCACTATTCTTACGAAGCTTGGGAATAATCCCCCACATGCAAAAACCATCACATGGTCCAGACCACTGTAGTCAATTCCTGCAAGTATGGCTCCAATGGCAGATGATGGACCCATGAATCCAATCAAAGCAGCTGCTGCAAGGGAGGCAGACCAGCTGTCAGTAGCCCCTAATATGCAGCTTGCCACAGCCGCACCTCGAGGGAGCCCGTGTAGGGAAACAGGAAGGACCATGTGCTGACCAAGTCCATAAGCCTTAGGTGCAGCCACTCCCAGTGCAAGTCCCTCAGCCAATGCATGGAAGGCCACCGCTCCACATGACAAGAATGACTGAAGGGTAAGAACGCTCACTGGAAAACTAGATGCTGTAGGCAAGGTAACTGCAGAACTTCTCTTCCGACCTGCAAGTTTTAATACACTGGAGCTCAATACATGGACAAATGCAGCCCCTGCTGCAAGCAGAGAAACAAGAGGAATAAATCCCATCTTTGCAGTGAAAAGTAGCTGCAGTGGCCGCCAACCACCAAGGACAAAGGCAATGCCAGAGGCTGTGCCCATGAGAAGGGCATGCTGAAGGTGGAAAGCAAGGGCAAAAGAAACAAGAACCATGCCACCGAGCAATGGCCCAAGACCAAAAAGCAATGACACAAAAAAGGCAGAAGCATCCTGTGAACTGCAGAGAGAAAAAAAAGAAAGATAAATTTAGTCCAGGTAAAGAAAAAAATATATGCTACCACAGTTGGGCCAAAAAAGAAAAAAGCAAAATCTGCATCAATGTTGGAATGGCAGGATCTTGTTTGGGATAAGAATATCACAATTCACCCACTTGGCAAGAGCAGAAAGTTCTCCTGAGGCGTGGGATGGTTAAGAAGTTTTGAATGTCAAAAACATTAAAAACATTAGTTATCATGCTGAATGTCGAGGCTTAGCTTTAACAGGGATTTATAATCTCATGAGGGATAGTCATACCACTATCAAGTCTGTCATAGAATGATAACTTGATGCAGTACTGATGAAGTAGTGAAGGAATATTCATCAAAGCAATGACTTCATCTTGGATTAATTAAAGATGGTAGATGCAAAAATCTATGTACACTTCGGTGCAAGTGTTGAGTATCATCTATAAACCACTGAATGAAAACATCTATAAATTGCATAAAGACAGACATTACAACACATTAATACTAGACTGAGTATAAATTACCACTAAGTGGCAAAGATGAATGCCAACAGAAAATAAGCGAAGCAAACTCAACTAGTTGGGATATCATAAAGGCATATCGCTATGCTGGTCATCCAGTCTCCTAAACAAATAAAAGATCAAAACAACTCACTTGTAATCATGGCTGACATTCTGAAACAAAGTGCTAAGAGCTTCCATAAAAGCTACAGAAAGTGTAGCTGCTGAGGCCACTGGAGACGGAGATGCTTCCTATAGTGAAGATGGCAGGTAAACAAACATCATGTCTCTAGAATCTGGGAACTTAAGTTGACAAATTTGAATTTAAAACAACAATACAAACAATATTCGGCTTCAAATCAAGTTCATGCTTGATCTCTCTGAGGATTGAGTACAAAATAGTAAAGTTGGTGAAGGCAGTATGTCGGACAAAAAGTACGTAGTTATTTCCAATACAAGTATTTAGAAGTACCATTTCATCCTAAATATAGGTCTCACTAACACATTTATGACAATAATTATGAACCTAAAACTCAACTAACCTAGAACAAATATGATCACAGAAACACAAGAATTATGACCATAAAATAAAATCTTGTACAATACTATAACTAACACAGGATGTTTAAAACAGAGTAGAAGGTGATGATACTCAAAGGATAAACATAATATTTCACATCTCATTATGCAACCAAAAAGTATTATCAGGGAAACAAATCTGAATTTTAATAGGAAGAAAAAGTATCATAATATCAAAATGTGTAAAACTCAATCAAGTCAAAGTTTTTAACAATCAATAGGGTACAGTTCAAACTAAACCAAAGACATCTGAAAACTTAATGAGAAATATGGCCCTTAAACTAAGGGGCAACTAGGTATTGTTGCATCTGGTGAGAAAAAAATTACCTTGAATGCGTCAGGGAGTACCTCAGCAACAACCATCCAGATCATACATCCAGCAGCAAAGCCAGTACAAAAAGGCAGGAATTTGTTAAAGGCATCAGCACATATAAATGATGGAACTGCTACAATAGGCTGCATAGTGAAAGAAAACTATTATAAGTTTAACCCTTTAAACACTAACTTTAAATTTTGATTTCTTCCACTTATCTGTTTGACACATACAAGTGACAGACCAAGATCCAGTCACCAAGGCTTTTCAAACTTACATAAGCACTTGAAGGAGCAACTTTGCTCAGGTAAGTTTGCGCACAATCAACTACTCAAATAACTAACCCAAAAGTTGCTCTTTTCATAGACCAAATAATTTGCAAATGATTATATATACCATGACAGATGTTTTGCATCATTTTACTTGGTGCATCAAACAAAATGATGAACAAAGCCAGCACAGACCAAAGTAGTTTTACCAACTTAAGATCAAGGATAACAGATATTTCTTACAGGATATCTAGTTCAGAGCTTTAAACTTTTAAATACATGTTAACTGATTCATAATTATTCCCTGGAACTATGACTTTACAGTAATGTATGATCAAAATGATTCATTTTGTCTTACATGGTTTGACAAGCGCAAAGGCCAACGGTGTACCCAATCATAAGCTGTTACCTGAGGTAAGGATGTGATTATACTCCACAGCATTGCATTTTGTGGAGAAACGCCTCTAGAAGCAAGCACCATACTCACAGCCAAACCCTCAGGTATATTGTGCACAGCGATAGCCAAAGTTACCAAAAGGCCTTGAGAAAAGCCTTTTGAGCCAGCAAAGGAAACTCCAACACCAGAGCCTTCACCAAATGAATGAAGAGTCATGATCCCGATGACAAGAACAACTTTAGTTGCATCTGCACCCTTTATGTCCAACATACTTACTTCGCCATATCGTTCAAGAAACTGAAAGAAATGATATTTAAAGTTATGGGAAGTTAGTACATGTAAACATGGGTAAACACACCAATATGTGCAAAAGTTAAAAGTATATGATTTGAAAACACAACATTAGGTCAATATACAAATATTGAACTTTTGATCTAAAATATACAAATTGAAAGAAACCACATCCACTGTTACTATGAGTTCATAACAATATTTAAGAATTGGCAAATGTGTCTCTACTATAAGTAATGCTAGTGAATATGTATTCAAGAAACAACAAGCAGTTTAGCAATGAATGCCAACCAAACTTTGTTAATAAAAAATGAAAGACCACAGCCATCACCTTTTTACAAAGTAAAATGAAAATTCCACCAGATAAAATCCCAATCATAACCCAATTGCCTGCACCGTGACCCTGTCCCTCCTGTATCAAGTCAAAGCTTGCGGCCAGCATCACACCAGAAGCCATTCCATTGCATATTCCGGCCCATTGAGGATTAAGCTCCACAAAGAAGAATGGGACTGCACCTAAACCAGTGGCAGCAGCCATTGCCAATGTAAATAAAGCTACGGTAGACACCGATACTCTGCTTTGACTACCCTTCTTCTCCCCCAGTCCACTATCGGTGTCATCAAAACTTGAGGTATTCTCAGTACCAATTCCATCTATAACATTGTTTCCTACATTTCTGCGAGGAGCAGCTCTTACCCTCTGTGAATTTGCACTTTCAGACTCCGCTGTGACACATCCAAATAACACCAAGGAGAAAAGCAAAATTAACAGAACCGGTTTGAATCTCAACCGCATTGTTCTTTGGCTATACATCACAAAAAATACACCTGTTTAAACAGCACCCATCATGTTGATTTTACTACGACAGAGAGACAATTCCATACACATGAATCCCTAAAAGAACGCCCTCATAAGCAAATTTTGATGCAGAATCAGGAACCCCAAAACACGTCAACAAAAATATGGTTTGGTCAACATCTGCCGCAATCCAAAAAACATGAATTTGTATAAGCAATTGTAACCGGGTTCCAATAGATAACCTGACACCAGAGCTATAAAAATTTTAATGTAATAATGCAGCTGCACATGATCTACAAGAAACACACCATTTATCTTCTAAAACAAACTACCAGAAAAATCAGGCGAAATCC